AAAAAAAAAAAAAAAAGAAAATGTCATTTTTACCTCTTTCTTCAGAAGTTGGTCTTAAGGTCAGCTCACTGTACTTGGTGAATGACTGAAGTAGTTCAAAATAGAATGAATTAAATGACAAGTAAGGGGATGGCTAATGATTTGAAGATTTAAATCAAATCCAATTCTGCCTACCCCTAGTTCATTTGCTACAAGTTTCTGGCCCATGAAAAATCTGTACACTTAGCAGAATATTCTATTGCTATATATATATATATATATATATTTATATCCCCACTACTTATGGGGTTTGAAGACTCCATTGTTGATATCTGGATTAATTATCCCACTACTTAAAGGTTAATATTTAAATGAATACTCTCAGAAGAAAATGTGACCCAAAGCTCAAACCTCTACTTAGGTTGCCAAAAATTGGGGGGCAGGGATAGATGAAGACAGAGCCACGCTAATAATTTATGTTGTTCGCCTTAATGCCAAAGGCCTTCATTTTAAAACAAACACACAAATGAAGTAAAACCCCACTCTCATAGTCTTGTTAGTTATGCAGACACCACAGTTTCCTACCGGCCTGTACTTTCAGAGAAGTAATAATGTCTGTCCTCTGGGAATTAGCAGGTGTGCCAGCCAATACCCCTCAGTTAATTCACAACTTGAGAAAGGAAAAATGCCGTGGAAATCCCAGTAGACCTTGTATCTGCCATTAATTTTTAAAATGAGCCCAGAATCTTCTTTTCACAAAAGGTCATCTCAGTTTTCCCTTGAACATCTATAGTCTCCTCTTAGCCCTACAAACCCAGATGTTCTTTCTCTCATTTTCCCAACCTCTGACCTTACTTCCTAAAGCCCCAAGTACCTGTAAGCAAATGACTTTGTCCCCGGGCCGAGCTGAGCTGTCTGGAGAGTAGTCCCCGTCTTGTCGAGACTGCTGCCTGCCACGAGTTTTCCCCACGGCCACTGGGTTGACAGCTTCCAGATGCGAAGGGTTAGGCAGCATTGTCACGTGGACGGGATGGTGTGCGCCGAAGTCCAGGTCCACAGAGGAGGTCAGGTGAGACAGGACATCTCCGGTCACTGAGAGATTCTCTGGAAATTCACTTAAGCCTCGCATTTTACGGAACATGAGCTATGATGAAAAAACACGCAAGGAAAAAAATGTCTCTTACCACAGTGGAGACCAGGGAAGAAGAAGTGATTAGCTTAAATCATACAATAAAAGAATCTCCATACAAATGCTTTCATAACTATTATAACTAAGTGTTGTTTAAAGATAGGCACAGACTGGGAACCACTTTAAGGTAAGGCAAACAGCAGGTAACCTTGGTCATGAAATATTGTAAAAATATACCTGTTAGATTTCATTTTCCAAAGAGAACTTGGTATTAATTTCATAAAAGGTAGAGAGGAAAGTAACAGGATAGGCTGTAATCTCTTTTGGACAGGAGTGAAGTACACTGCTTAGCTCAAGTCAGATCTACCCCGTCTACTTTCAAAAGATTCCTCTATATACCGTCTGCATGCCATTTTTGTACTCTTCTGGGTAATATGTTATTTGTCATTTTGAAAACAAACAAATAGAATTTAAGTAAATTAAAAACAAACAAACAAAGAATTTACGTAGATTGTTAAAGGCCCTCAACTACTAAATAACAAAGCTTGGTCTGGAACTGAGGTATTTCCCAAAACATCTTGTTAGTCATCTACATTGCCCACATTGTTTGAACAAAGGAACTGAAAGTTTCTCTAGTTTGCAAATGCTTCTTCCTGACTTGTCCCCAAACAGGAACAGACAGCATAGGCACATGTGTGTTTCTCACAAGCATAAGAATTCTTGGTCATTTCTGCCTCTTGGAAATTTTAGGAATGCAATTTTTGGTCTAAGAATTCCTGCATGTGGCTTGGTGCCTGTAGCTCAAGCGGCTAAGGCGCTAGCCACATACACCGGAGCTGGCAGGTTCGAATCCAGCCCAGGCCTGCCAAACAACAATGACAACTATAGCCAAAAAAAAAAAAAATAGCTGGGCGTTGCGGTGGGCACCTATAGTCACAGCTACTTGGGAGGCCAAGGCAAGAGATTTGCTTAAGCCAGGAGCTGGAGGTTGCTGTGAGCTGTGATGCCATAGCACTCTACCCAGGGTGACAGTTGGAGGCTATTTAAAAAAAAAAAAAAAGAATGCGGGCATGTATTTAAGCCTATGCCTCCACTGGTCAATCCTTTCATTCTGGGCACGGGGGCTCATGCCTATAATCCCAGCACTGTGGGAGGCCAAGGCAGGTGGACTGCCTAAGCTCAGGAGTTTGAGACCAGCCTAAGCAACAGCAAGACTCTGTTTCTTTCTTTGTTTTATTTTTAAACAGAATAAAGTAGCTTTTTCAAGACTCCATTTCTACTAAAAAAAGAAAAAAATAGGTGCTGTGGCAGGCATCTGTAGTCCCAGGAGAGACTGAGGCAAGAGGATTGCTTAAGCCTAAGAGTTTGATGTTGCTACGAGCTGTGATGCCGGCACTCTACTGAGGATGACAGAATAAAAAAAAAAAGTCTCAAAAGAAAAGAAAAGAAAAGAAAGAAAGAAAGAAAAAAGAAATACTGCCTCTACAAAAATAACAAAATTAGCCAGGCATGGTGCATGCCTGTGGTCCCAACTACTTGGGAGGCTGAAGCAGGAGGATCATTTAAGCAACAAATATATATGTATATTAAAAAAAAAAAACCTGAATACCAGTTCTGCCTGATTAAGTTCTATCAATTAACTAAGCAATCTTCCAGATCAACTGCCTGTAAGCTTCGTTCACTTTCTAAAAATGATTCTGTCACAGTCCATTACGTAGCACCGGTGACAAACACAGAAAGCAAACTTACCTCTGGAGGGAACCGCAGGAGGCCGGTCAGCAGATTCAGCCTCCCTCTGTGGGGCATCCCTATGATGACATCGGTGATCCCAGCATAGGCTGACATCTTCAGCAGCTCGTGGAAAAAGCCCATCATGCTTTCAGCCCCTTCGCCTCCGTATCGCTTCACTGTGGCGAACTTGGTGGCCAAAAAGTGGTCAAATTCCTGTGGAACATGACGTCAGATACGTGAGCTGTGGGAAGGTAGCCAGCGACTCCAGGGAAAGGCAGACGACTGTGAGAGAAGACCCCGCACCGCTCCTGCGGCCACAACTGCGTCCCTTGGCTGCACACCCCACGGATACTCAGTAACACAGAACACGGCAGGAAAGCTCTAGAGGACCTCAGCCTGCAGGGGCGCTGCAGAGAGAACAAGCTGAGGGCTGGAAGAAGGTGCCCCAAGGGAAGCCCTGAGAACGGGTGTTTTGTTTTTTTTTCTTTTTTCTTTTGCTTTGTTTTGAGACAGAGTCTATGTCATTCTCAGCAGAGTGCCATAGCATCACAGCTCACAGCAACCTCAAACTCTTGGGCTTAAGCAGTTATCTTGCCTCAGCCTCCCAAGCAGCTGGCATTACAGGCACCTGCCACAACGCCCAGCTATTTCTTTGTTGCTGTTGTAGTTGTCATTGTTGTTCGGCAGGCCTGGGCTGGGTTGGAACTTGCCAGCTCCAGGCTCCAGTGTATGTGGCTGACTCCCTAGCCACTGAGCTATAGGCACTGATCCAGAACATGTGTTTTTCCACACCAGGGGCCTCTCCCACTGCATCAGTTTGATTGGGGAGGCTTTATAGTGCTATTCCATCAGGACTGCAAATTATCCAACCATCCATACTATCAGGAAGAGGCTTCTGGTCATCTTGACATGCCTGAGTCCTGATCATAGATCTGATGGAGATTCGGTTCCATTAATCTGTATCAAGGCCAGGCATAGTAGCTCACACCTGTAATCCTAAAACTCTGGGAGACCCAGGCGGGAAGACTGCTTAAGGCTAGGAGTTCAAGACCAGCCCAAGCAAGAGTGAGACCCTTGTCTCTAAAAAAAAATAGAAAAATTAGACAGAGAAAAATTAGCCAGTCTGGTCCTGGCTACTTGGGAGGCTGAGGCAGGAGGATCACTTTGAGCCAGACATTCCAGGTTGCTGTGAGTTATGAGGAGTCCACTGCACTCTAGCCTGGGAAACAGATTGATACTCTGTCTCAAAAAAATATTTTTTTTGTATCAAGAGCCTCTCCCACATATAATCTTTTGATTGCTTCAGGTAAATTCTTTTTTTTTTTTTTTTTTTAGACAGAGCCTC